ACTTCTATACTAAAAAACAATTAATATCATTAAAACTATTTATTATTTGTATATCTATCTTTATTTAATGGGGTAACTAAATCATAAATGAATGCAAATTTTTTTTTAAATATTTATTAAATTTTTTTAAATCTCATTAATTATTCATAGAAAACAAAATATCTTGAATTTTTTAACGTGATATTTTTCAATAAAATATCTTATATTTTTTAGGGGCATTAATTCCAACTAAGATATATTATTACAAATGTGAATCTAACTAACATCTAAAACTTTGTCCTGTAAGAGTTTTCTCAAGTCGTGTGGTGATGAGGAGCATTTTTTATGATGGGGGCAAAAAACAACTTTAAATTTTTTTATAAGTAAAAAAAGGTTTATTTATTTTTTTATAGAGCTATAGACGTGTTAGGATCGTTCCTTGCCCATTTAGATCTGTCTTTTCGTGAGCACTAGAATAAATTGAGTGCTCTTTTTTTTTTCTTCTTCTTTTTTTTCTCTCATCATTTGTGCTTTTTGAAAGAGAATCACTAGATTGTTTAGAACTATATCACTAATAGAAAGGAATTTGGTACTCTAAGATTCGAGGATAAAGAATCACAACTGATATGAGATTCATCTTTAAAAAAAATTGAACTTTTGTCTATTAAATGTTTTTAAGCTTCTTTCTATGTGCATTATATTTCTTTCAAATAATTGAAAATTTAAAACCGAATTTCCTCAAATTAATAGCCTCAAATGCAAGCTCCCACGGCTTGTATAGAACAAGGGACGATGAACTAACTAACCACACCAAACTACTTGAGAAAATAACACCAACCAAACTAGAAACTAAAAGGTCATAAATAAATAAATGCTTATGTTATGCGTATGTATAATATTTATTATCAACTTTGCCTACTTAATTTTTTTTTACCAAAAATAAAAATGAAGCGAATTTTTTTTTTTAAATATCTAGAAAGAGTTATTATCATTATCGGGAAGCCGTTTGGTAGCTGACGAACTAGAGGGTCATATTCATTTGGTCACGAACATGAATATGAGGACCTAAAAGAGTGATGGAGAATCATAGAACAATGTATGGTGCATGTATGCTATATAACATTCCTTTTATGATTTTTGGTTAATGAATGAGAACATTGCTTTCATTTTCAGATGAATTTTTTAATTTCATCCAACCTGGTTTGAATTTTGATCATAAAATGGATGCGTGAGAGTTTTGAACGAAGTGCATAACTTTTGTTCCCATCAAACTTGATTCAAATAAATGACATAAAAAAACTATATGAAATTTCTTACATTATATAGAATTTAAGGTGTACAATTCATATATAATTGAAGTGTAGTTTTTAGACTTTACATGTATTGTGTATGTATTGATATTTACTCTGTACATTACATAAGGGTTAGTCATAGACTCATAGTGCATTTAAAAAAAAAAATTACACCAATTTTTTGAAAGAATTATGAGCACCCTTAAAAAAATTGTGAAGCAATGTAATGTATATATGATTTTTCAAAACTAATGCATTGTTGTTCTTCATTAATAATCAATATTGGATGTCAAATCAAACTGTCTCAATAACAACATCACATCCTCCACTTCAAAGTTTTTATTTAATTTTAACATGTTTGCGTATTTGCGTAGGTGTATGTGTTTTTCTTTCCTAAATAATCAATGTTAGGTTAAAAAAAATCCATTGTCAATTAAAAATAGATAACATTAATTGCACTAGTTTTGAAAGAGTACTTGTACACTGCACTACAATTTTTTAGAGAGCTCATAACTCTTGAAAATACTTTCATGGTAAAAATGCACTTTCTAATCTTATTACTTATATATTATGTATAGTACAGTTTGATATAAATCATGTATGTTGATACTGATCTATGCAGAAACAGGGAAAAGCCACAATTTATATCTGTTATTTACATATACTAATGTGAAACCCAAGATCCTCTAAGTCAAAATCAAATCGTGCAAGTTGTGTAGTGTAATCAAAACTCAATTGACTTATTGACCTTTAAAAAATAATAAGTTGACTGATGTTTGATATTGGTGATTATAATTGGCCCCTCACGCCACTGGGAAACGATGGTCCGCGTGGACCTATTGATTGGGCTTGATCGAAGATGACATGCTCCGATGGGCCCACATTCCAAGCCCATTCCTCACGTGTCAATTCCGCTCTGAATTATTGTCCTTAAGATTATTATTATTCATTATTAATTATTATTAATGTACCAAAAAGTCAGTAATAATGTCGCCTTGCTCACACTTGTCCCTACTTTTTGTCGTCGTCCTTTGATTTGAGCTGTTTCATACTTCCAAAGTTTCAGAACACGAGTTGCTCAACTTGTGAATTTTGTCTGTCTTTATTATCACTTTTTTTAATCAAATGCCGTCCACAGAAAAGGGGTCGTTAGAAATTACAACATTTAAAAAATATTTTTTTTGTTTTATTATGTATATTTTCAAAAACAAAAACAATGTGATACATGGATCACTTTTAACGTTAATTTGACAAGCAAACAATTTTCATATAATTAAAAAAATAGGAAAATATAAATATAAAAAATCATTTTTTTTTTTTAAATCTAGATAAGCTTCATATCCACTCAAATCAAATCAACACAATTCAATCCTGATATCGAAAGTCACCTTTGAATCCTTTCAAAATCCGATGACCCTATAACATCTTCCCTTTGAAACGATTGAAAATGTTGACAAAGTCTCTGAGAAAGAATGCATGTGCCACAAAGAATTCCACAATTACTTAGGATTAGGATGCAAGTATCATTAAAGAAAATTAGACAAAAATGTCTCTATCCCTTTAATTTCTGTCCATTAAGCGTAAATGGCCCTAGATTCACAAGTTAATCTCTCTTACTTTAATTTTAGCAACAGTTCTATTGAAAAAAATATCAAAAGCAGATTACCAAAGAAAAAAAAATTGAAAATTAGTTTAGGGGTGAGGGAGGGAGGGATTGGAAAAGTATATCCTACCTTACTCTATTTTTGTTTTTAAGTTTTTTTAATATAACAAAAAGTTTAAATGAATTGAGTCTTGATACTAAAATTAGGATCAATTTCAAAATATGTTATAAAAATGCTTATGAATTACCTACTAATAAGGTTATTATATTGGTAATAAAATATGAATCTCTGGTTTTATAAGTTATGAGCTAAATCTTTATTAATTAAATTAATATTTATTAATGTTATGAATTTCTTCTTCATAGTTTTTTTTTCCCTCTTCTTCTTAAATGATCAGCTTCCCACAGGGTCACATTTCTTTTCTTTCTCACAAAGGGTCAGCTACCAGCCTATGGGATGGGAATGACCCATTTAGATTTTTTAGCCCAATTATCAAGAGTCCATCCTAGCCCTTCATGGAATCAAGTGTGATGACTTATATTTCATATTAATGTTAAGGAAATTGAACCAAACTGAATATAATACTAATTTACAATTCAATAGTTAAATTATGGTTTGAATTAAAGTCCAACCAGTTATAAATAAAATAATATATAATTAAAATAAGAAGAAATAATTATATATAGTGATAAAAATAAATTTTTAAATTTCAAACAACATAATATAAAATAAAAAAGGTAATATCCATCGATAATCCATCATTTTGATCCAAAATATATATGCTTATTTTACAATTCATAATTTAGAACTTTAAAATGTATTCATTGCATTTTTGTTCATTTTTCTCCATTTATCAATGCTTATTAGGTGTAAATAAGGGTGAGAATAGGCCATGACCCTAATAAGGACCTACAATTTGACCTACTTCAGGCCTAACCTAGTTTATTCATTAAATAAGCTCAGGTCAAGTTTAGTTTTTTAATTAGGCCTATTTAACTATATAGGCCAGGCCTATTTTTTAAGGTCTAACCTATGAGCCCAACAGACTAACTTATTTACACACACATATATAATATAATGTATCACAAATACATCAGTTTCACCATTTAATTTTAAATCAATTTCAGATTTTTATTTTTAGTTATATTTTTAATCATATTTTGTCACCTTATTATTTTATTGTGTTGCAATTGCTAAGTCCTTTTAATTATTATATATTATAATTGATAAATCAAGTTATATATTACATGCTATAATAGTCTTAAAGCATATTTGAGACGTTTAAAATTAAAACTAAAACTTAGTTAAAAGATTTACTTTTAAATAGGTTTTTAAGCCAAACCAAGCTTTAGATAAGCTCAAGTTTGAGCCACAAAAAAAGTTTTATACAGGCTTTAGGTTAGGTTTAAACCTTTGATTTACTATAAAGTTCAAGCCTATTTAGTTAAAACCTAACTTAAATTAGCATATTTCCATCTTTAGGTGTAAATATATAAATTGTAGTTTATAAATATAAATTAAAATTTTAAACATTAAAATTTTTTTAAAAAATAGCAAGACCAATCCAACTAGTTTGCCTTTCAGTTTTGTCAATTTTGACTGGTTTTGAGCTAATTCTCAAGATAAGTGGTTTTTTATTGTAACTGGATTGGATTAATGACCAGTTCTCTATTCAACAAGTCAAATTAGCCGATTTGATTCTCATAACATTGTTTTGTATATTATTGTTTTAAATGAATGCCTAAATTTACATAATACATGTTACACCTTATCTGATTTGAAGTTTAAAAAATAATTCACGTGACTAAAATGACTATCTTTTTGATTTTTTTTTTCCAATTCGAAAATAAAGCAGGACCGAAATTGTTGAGAAAAACATAAAAACGTTGCTGGATGATTTTTTTTCACATTTTGTTTTTCTTAATTTGAGATTTAAGTAACAAATTGAAGGAAAAAGAACATGGAGAAGAAAAAAAAAGAAAAAAGAATACCTGGCACTAGAAGCGGAAGTGATGACGTAGCAGTGGCACCACCAAACCTATAGATTTGCACCAGCACTCCACAAGCCTTCTGCTTTTTCTCTCCTGTGAAGAAACACTTAGATGCAATATTAACTCAAGTTTACTCACACTTTAAACAGCCGAGTTAGAGTCAGCTCACCTAAGTAGAGCTTGACGGCGTGCATGTAGGTGGAGTTGCGGATGGAGCCATGGGAATGAGGGAATCTATAGCAGTCAGAGAGGAGAAAGGAGGAAATAAGAGTGGTGACAGCAAAGAGAAGGATAGAGATAGGACCAGCGAGCCAGCCGAGCTGAGCAATGCTCCAAGCCAGAGACAGCACTCCGGCTCCTATGACGGCTGTTATTATATGTGCCACTGCACTCCCCACCTTCCCTGTTTGTCATCAACTGTTTGTTTAATTTATTTTTGTCACATGCTAATCACTTGTCAAAATTTGATCATGGATGAGTGTGTTGCAGACATGAGAGTTTCAGTTGCAAATCATGGTATTAAAGTCAAGTCATATGAGTAACTCCTGATGAGACGCTCATATTTTTCTGTGTTTGTGTTTGATCAAATATTAGCAACTCATGTTTTGATAAAATCTTTTATGACTTAAATGTAATTAAATTGAGCTTTTGAAACTTGACCATCATTCTAAATTTACACCTGGTTTATTCGTTTTCACTGGTGTGGGTTCCATGCATTAATGCAAAAGCGGTAAGAATATATATGTGAATTTATAATTTTATGAGTTAAAGTGTATTTTTATCTATGTACTTTCCTTCAAGGAATATTGGATACTCTGTATTAATAAGTAAAGTATTTTTTTTCTTAAATTATTTTTAAAAAGAAAAAAAATCTTCACTTATTAATATAAGATACCCAGTGCTCATAAAACAAAGCAAGGGAACTTTAACCCTAATTTTATTGACTAATTTTTATTGATTTTTTCTGATTACTTTTGCAAATTTTCTTAATCTTCCAGCTACCATTCATATCCACCTATAAGTCAACACAAAGTTCCACTCTTCTTCAGCCCTTCGATTCTATTATATTGTAATATCCAGTTCTGGTTGCAGAGTTTGTCTCATAAGACTTTGATGGTTTCCTTCTTTTCTGGGTTACGTTACTGGTCCTACTAGTCCAAGATCATGACGGGGTAGGATAAGAGGAACTGATGCATATTATAAAAGTTGAACCCACCAGACAATTAGACACATCAAATTTACCTCAATTTCACTATGAAATTAAACTAGTTCCATGAGAAATATCAATCAACTGACCAGCCAAAAAAAACAAATTTATTTTGTGATTATATAGAAGGGAAGTGTAAAAAAAAAGATGGGAAAATAATGATGAAGGACTCCTAGAAGAAATTTATTTCAATTAAAAATTAATTGTTATCAAAATCTAAATAAAAAAAGTTTAAATAAATTATTGTTAGTTTAGAATAAATCATTAAAATTTAAATAAATATTTATTAATAAAACATTAATTTGAATTTATAAGTATCTATTTAAGTTTTAATAATAAATAATCTTTAATTGATATAAATTTTTTTCAATGATTGATATTTTTTAAAGAAGATTGAAACTCAAGATATTAGGTGCCCATCTCAGTTTTTGAGAGAGGCTAACTGATTTCATACGAGAAAGCTACACGATAATTACTCGACAGAGTAATAGCAGGACGCAGTTAATGATTACCTGTTCTACGAGGAGGCTCTTGAGTCACATTGGAAGAAGGAAGAGAGCTTTCAATGAAGGGTCGTTGACATATGGCCTCCTCTGTGATCATTTCTTCAAGAAGATTGTTTGCTTCTCTTTGAGAACTCGTTCGTGTAAAGCAGAATATGAAGTAAATGGCGTAATGGGTTTAATTTCTAGAAGAATTTGAAGAAGCCAGACACAGTACAACGTTGGACTGTAAGATAAGCCTTTACATACGCATACTCTGACCATTCCTGTCCTTCATTTTACTGAATAATATCTCCAGGATATACCAAAAGGCCTTTTCCCTTTGGAAAATTGTGGTCCTTTGATATCGAATCACATTGCAGTTTGGTTTGGGTGCCCACCTATGATGCCAATCATTGTAATGAAATCCAAACTATTTAAATTTTAATTTAAATGATTTAAATTTAAATTATTATTATATATTATTTTTTAAAAAATAAAAGTTATAAAAATTATAAAATAATTTTAATATTTTTTATTTTTAATATAATTTAGATTTAATTTGAAGCGTTTAATTTAATATAAATTTTTTTATAATTAATATATATTGAACGTTTAGATGTGCTTTGCACATTTCAGATTAACACCAAATTAAATCTAAATTGTGCAAAGTATATCTAGATGGTCAATATATATCAATTATAAAAATTTTAATATTAAATTGGACCTTTTAAATTAAATTTAGATCATATTAAAAATAAAAAATTTATCAAAATTATTTTATAATTTTTATAAAATTTATTTTTAAAAACATAATATATAATAATTATTTAAATATGGACCATCCAAATCTCATTACAGTGATGAGCACCCAAACCGGGTCCCAATCATTCACATGCACATGAACAATATAACTCATTTTGTATTAGTTTTGTTTGAGTGCTTATCACCGTGATGAGATTTGGACCATTCAGATTTTGATTTGGATGGTCTAGATTTAAATTATTATTATATATTATATTTTAAAATAAAATTATAAAAATTATAAAATAATTTTAACAATTTTTTTATTTTTATTGTGGTCTATATTTAATGTGAAAGGTTTAATTTAATATTTGTAATAGATATATATTGACTATCTAGATATACTCTATACAGTCTAAATTAAAATCTGGTGTTAATCTAAACTATGCAGAGTATATTTGAAGAGTCAATATATATCAATTATAAAAATGTTAATATTAAATTTAACCTTTTAAATTAAATCTAGACTATATTAAAAATAAAAAATTTATTAAAATTATTTTATAATTTTTATTTTCAAAATATAATATATAATAATAATTTAAATTTAAATTATTTAAATTAAAATTTGAATGGTATAAATTTTATTACTGTGATGAACACCACACTTAAACTAAGTCTTTTTTTTATTTCATTTAACAACACTCACATCACAACCTATCTACTTTTCAGAAGCGTCAAAGTTACTATTTGTCATATACCAAACTCAGCCATTACCAAACCATTCCAGCTTCACCAAGCAAACTTCTCTTCTTTGTCAGAATGATGACTATGTCCGTTACGAGTCTAATCACCCTACCAAATTGATATTAGGAACCATTTTGTGAGACTATAGTGTTTTGAACTGTGCATGATATTTAGTAATTTAATGTTGTTGTCATGTCATGATGTTTCCGGCATTTGACTAGTGAATTAAATGGCGTAATGGGTTCAATTAATTTCTAGAAGTTTCAGTGTTAGTGCAAGTCTTTTGCCAACCTAAGCCATTACCAAATCACTGCAGCTGCACAACCTCAACAAACCTACTTCGTTTCTTTTTGAGAATGACTAGTACGAGTCTAAACCACTATCAAATTTATATTAAGAACCAGTGCGTGTGAGACTATAGTTTTTATGAGATGATATTTTATAGATTAAATATGAAAAATGTTTTCGCCATTCAGCATGTGAAACGCTTATCTGCCTCCACCAAAATACATGCATGCCATTGCCAGTTTTTCAAGTTGAATCTTATGTATCAGTGAAGAATGATGCTGAGTGGCGTTTATGGAGCTAAACCAGAGGAATGAGAGCCTGATCTTTTAAATTTACGGTGTAGGAAAACAAAACATAACCTTTGCTTGTTCTTTTAGGATATTGTCATAAGGAATTTGTATGCATAGAAAAGAAAAAATAGTTGCCGCTACATCTGATCAGCCTCAAGCAATATAGTTAGCAAAAGAAGTATTGCATTTAGGAAGCATAAGCTGAAGGTTGAAGTTTAAAAATCAAGACAAATTTATCTCTTAAATTTACAATAGGACAAGAGAACGTAACCTCTTCCTCTTGACCATTCTTTTAGGACAGTATGTCCACTGTCTGATCTAGTAAGAAGGGTCTACATGTACAAAAAAACTGGCTGCCACTATCAGATAGCATAGAATAAGCATAAGTCCCTTGAAGTAATTAGAAGTCCCTTCCTGCAAGTTCAAGAAAAAGCGATCAGAATAAGTGTACTCTTCTGATTACTATGACGGTAATCAATCAAAATGGGCTTGGCTCATCGAATTGGGAATAGGGTTGGCTTATCACTGGCTCAAATAATATGAGGCCTTTTTGGTCCTGCACCCGCCAGCAAAAGTGGGCTAACTCATTTTTAAATATGTTTACATTTTTTTTTTCTGGTTTCTAGAATGATATCAATATTTTGCAGAAAAGTTATTTATCTCTGAATACATACCTGCAACAAGAGGACTACAACAATAACAGTTAGAAACAGTGTTGCTGTCTCAAAAAGTTGAAAGTTTAAGTCCAAAGGATGCCCCATTATCCACCCAATAATCACGCAAAGTGGTATCTGCAGAAAGACACAGGAAATAATGAAGTAATATCGTCAGGATATAGAAAAGAAAATTGACTTTACTACTCATTGGGAGGAAGACAGAGACAGAAAGTTTCAAGAAATGAACAAAATATCCAAGAAAGAATAATTACAGAAATTTGCATTTTGATACAAGAGGAAGTCTAGAATGGATAATGCAGAAGAGAGCCTATCAATGTTGCATTAACTGCTACATGAAGGAAGTAGTTCACTTCATTCTGTTTTGTTTTATTCGGTTCTAGTCCTACATAAAACTATAACCCTCCATGTTAGACACCATCTCGTCTGATTCCAACGTTAGTAAATATTTGGATGCGAGGTTACAATTACAAACAATGACGAAGTTTCAAAAATCAAGGGAAAAAACTGGAATTAGTCAAGTATTTACAAATTTAGAAAACAATGCATTCTCAGCAGGGTTAAGCACCTACCACAAACATAGATATCTGCGTGGATGAACCTATTGCTACTCCCAAGGAAAGATCCTGTAGGTGATAGAAACTATTAATGTGAAACAATGGGCTCTTTTTATGGTAGGAAAACAAAATAACTGATGAAAGCTTACAAGCTTATCTTTCATTGCAAACATGATAGCACTGGCATGCTCTGCAGCATTTCCCACTAGGGGAAGCAATATTACACTGATAAAAGACACTGGCATTTTCCATGAAGTTGATGCTCCCTGTGAAACAGATGATCATATATAAAGCTTCACTTGTTTCAATCCTTTCAGAACATGAACTCAGCAGTCACTAAGACAAATAGTTTTTTTTTTTTTTTAATATGACAACATGGCATGATAAGAGGTTAGTACACTGGCTATCAGAAGCTAAACTTTCTGAAGAGTCTGCTTCAATTCTTCTTCAGTCAATATGCATACCAGGGACAATAAACGAGAGTAAAAAGAAACAGATAAATCTCAGATAGATGATCCTACTTTATTTTAGCCAAGACAAAAACTTTCAAGGAGTTCATGCATTATGTCAGGGAGGAAAAGATGAAACATCGGTCACCTCTATAGCACCAACTAAATATTCTGATAGAACTGATATCAAAGCAGTCATAATTGAAAGCCAGGTTACTGATTCCCATTTAGAGATATCAGGAGATTCATCGTCTTCTATGCAGTTTCCATGATTCCCCTCCTCCTGAGTTCATACCATGTATTAAACCACAATTTTGTGAGTCAAGGATCAAAATGTTATTTTTAAGCATAAACTAGAAGAGTTATACGCCAGAAAAGCTATCTATCAGTTAGTTTTTAAAAACTTAAAAGAATATAAGCAGTGAATAATTACTCTGTTTACTTCCAAGTCAGAAAATTTCTTTAACAAGCTGATCATCTTACATGCAGTTATTCACTCATTCAAGAGATAATGTTCTGACTTCTGAGAAAGCGAGAGACAATACTTTTGGCATTTAAAAAAAAAAAATCAAGAGTATCAAAAGGAACAGCATGTGCACAAACCAAAAATAAATAAATCAATTAAGAAATAAAATGAGCAGGAAACTTGAGGTAAAGGGCCAACCTCATTCAAAGAGAGATAGAGACTTCTTTGACTATTTAACTGGAAAAATAGGTATGCAGTATAAGCTACAAGCATGATGCAGCTGCTGAATCTTGAAAGGGCCAACTCTGACTCCCCAAAATGGACCTCAGTGCGTGTGTAGTGAAGAACAGCAGGAAAAAGTAGGCCCATGACTGCCATCAACAACAATCCTGTGTTCACTGAAGCTGTTGCCTGGATGCTAATATGAATCAGCTACAGACAGGTCAATTATTAAAGGTGGAAGTTAGGAAGATAAAGTAAGATACAGAAGCTAACATGTCTACCTTGTTAAAAACCTGCTCCTTCTTATTAAAAACAACCCCACCACAAAAAAATGCACATCCAAGCACCAACAACATGTTAGACAAAATTGACCCCAGCAAAGAGAGCTGGACAACTCTTGTCATTCCTCTTTTCAATGCATATATTGAAATGATCAGTTCTGTCGCATTTCCAAAAGTCGCATTCAGAAGACCCCCAACTACAAGATCCATAGAATAAAATTAGATATAAAGCATCACAAGCATATGTTAAGCAACAAAATTAGTAGAACAAGCTGGTTAGATACCACATATGCAAAATTTCTATGGTTTCTATAAACTTTTATAATGTTCAAGGGAACTTTTAGTATAACAAGCTGAAGCTAAAGGAGAGCAAGACCAGGTTTCTAAAACATAGATAAAGTAAAAACGAAAACAAGCTATATATAAACTTATTTTTATGGTTTATTCCATTTTCTCAAGCCATCTAAGTTGTGGTTTTTAGTTTGCTTTGCCTATCCAATTTTTTCTCTATCTCTTTTTTTTTATTTTTTTAATTCTTTTCCTCTTTTGTTGAATTCCATGCAATCGCTCAGACCATCTAAATTGTAGACTGAAGAAAAACTAGAATCCATAAGGTCAACTATGACATATGACATTTAACAGGATATTTATACGGAGTTCTTTTTCTCCCCTTTTAGGGGCGGGGGGAGAAGCCTCTTCACTCTCCAGTCCGATTACTACTTTACTATATACAAAAAACACAAGATCTAAAGTGGCACAATCAAATCACACATTTCGTATAACTACTTAAAAGAGATTAATTTGAAGGGGGGAAAGAGATGAATCTGGTAGAATGCTGCTTATTTAAACCGTTAACATCATTACCAGCATCTCCAGAGTAAAATGCCAGCTGCCTATACAACACCAAGAGAATAATAACATCAGAAACCTTAAAAGCGAGATAGATAAAACAAACTTTGACAGACAAATGCAATATTACTCTGTAGCATAACCTAGCCGCTCAGCCAAAGGCATTATACCCAACAAACTCAGAGTGAAGACCCAACCCTGCAACCCATCTTTATATTTCAACATAAGATATCTAAAGAAAACTTAGTGAAGTTATCATCAAAAAAGAAAAATGAAAAAAGAAAAGGAAAGAAAGAAAACTTAGTGAAGGTCCGTTTAAACTTGAACTGGAACTCACGTGATGATTAGTCAATTTCTCCACAATAATTGCCAAAGGCCCAAGAGACATAAGCAAATTGAGTCTATTTGAGAACATCACAATTTGTATACTGTTGAAAACCATACTCCTGAGTGTTCTCTGATGCGTGGCATACAATGCTCCAGAACATGATCCTTGTTCAGCCTCCTTGGTAGATTCTGAATTCTGAGCAGATCTTTCAGGGATATGAGGACTCTCGTTTTCGATCTCTTGAACTGGCCTTTCATTTAGAGAGTCCATCTATTACAGCAGACATCATATAGTATTTATAAAGATGCTTCAGACCTTCATACTCACAGGACAATGAATTACCAAAAACATAGTATTTTGGCAGCTAATTCTTGGGTATGTTTTTAAAATCTTTGAAATGAGAAAATATAATATGAAACATTGTTTCAATCGGCATTTGGATCCATCATGCAGTAAAAAAAATCCATTTTTTCTCAGGCATAACCACAAACACAGGGAAAATCAAAGAAACATAATAGAAATCAGCATGTGAATTGAAAGAAGACTTAGAACCGGATACTCAGGACGAGAGAAAGAATACACGTTGCACGTTTCAGACAATTCGTCCAACAGGTTGCATTCACTGCAAAGCAAAGATATTCGGTGTGAAGGAAAGTATAAGCCATTCTTGAACCCAAAAACAATTCCACATTTGAAAAAAGAAAATGAAATTGTAAAAACACAAGTTAGAATATTCGAGAGTTGGTTCTGACATTAATGGACGGGTCTCCATGTCTTCTTGTCATAAACAAGCATAAAGGGGGTGAAAGGACAAGCAGATTCAAGCAGGTATCGTAGCAATTCCAAGAGAAGATTAACAATAAATAAATCTGACTCACCAGTAATAAAAATCGAGTGAAGGCAATTTTTGGCTTGAAAGACCATTTCAGTTTCTTCTTGTGGTTTCGTTAGGAAATGACCACGGTCACTCCAAAGCAGTTTCTTCTAGCAAACACCCCTCTCTCTCGAAACTGATCAGTTGAGTCGTTGACAATAAATCTTAATAAATAAATTTACAAATTTTCTGATTTAAATATTGTGGTTCATATAGATTAAATTTAGTTGCCCAATAATAATAATATCATTACGTCACTTCAGACAACGTTAGCATTGTGTCTGTCAACAACAAAAGAAGTGTACTTGTCAATATATAGTGAGGAAACTAGGAAAGATTCATTCTCACACGTGGCCCAACCAGACCAGGGTATGTTGCCTGCAAGGAATCCTCAATCCGACTCATATTTAACCGTCATTCTGGCAAATTTTTTTGTCCCACTTTTATTGGTCATTTATAACTTCAATGCACAATTAAAATGGTTTTCAATTTTAACCTCAACAAGTAATTAATGTATGGTTTAGGGCTAAATTAGACGGTCCATGTGATTAGAAAACTAAAAGTACACAATTTATTTACAAAAATATAAAAATTTTACCGGCAGAATGCGATGCTGTGAAAGAAAATGTTGAAAACGTCTTTTTATACTCATGTTTTGATAATAATAATTTTTATTTAATTTAAAAATATTACTCAAAAAAACATTATCTTTAATATGAGGATACCTATGAGTAAGAAAAAGAAAATTATATTGAATTAATAAGTTCTAAATAAAGTCATAATATATTTAATTCAAAAGAAAAATACTGACAATATAACCAAAAGTTGTTCCTCCTTTCCCCAAGGTTGTGCCTTCTCTATCTGAAATGAAGACACATATCAGATTGAGAATAATTCTTCCCATAATAAAATTTCAGCGTGTTGTTAACAGATCACTTGTGTGATCACCACGAACATATGGCTTCAAAGGTACAAAAACAGATCAATGCAGAAGCTGACATGTTTTCCACCAATAAAATTTGGCCAAGGAGCCCAAAACTAACTTACAAGAAGTTAACTGTCCATTAACAACCTCAATAAAGGAATTTGACATGCCAACGATTTTTTTGTCCTTTTAGTAAAATTTTAATGGGAAGCAATTAGTTGGCTTTCACAACTTGAGGCAGAGACTTGAGAAGGGACAATGAGGGCCTTCGAACAGTGTGGTTGAGCAGCATCACGAGTGTCATAAATGTTAAAGCACCAGCCTGATGTGCAGTGCCCAGTGATACAGGAACGTATGAAAGAAGAGTTGAAACTCCTAACGTAACCTACAAGCCAACAGAAAATCAATTATATTTTATACCTCAGACAAGAGGGCAAGTATTCTTGAATAAATTCAATCTACAAAAGACATGGACTAGACTGATCACGAGGTAACGTGTAAAAGCATTGAGTAGACTCACTGAAAAATATGCATAACATGCTTCAATATCACTCTATCACCTTAGATTACTTATCTTTCATAAAAGGGTCTCTCTAAAACTTTTGGAGACTTAAATGTGAATATGTCAAGGTACAGATGCTAATGACACGATTGCAATTGAGAAAGCATAGAGCTCACGCAAAAGAAAACTAAACGTCTTTTGAGTTTGAACGTTCAGCTCAGCCAAAGGAGGTGATACATGAGTAGGAAAGATACAGAACGGGCAACAGCAACAAAAGACAAACACAAATAAGTAACATTCAAATTGAAATAATAACCTGAAGAGCAGCCATCCCAACAGTACTTCCGATCAGAGATCGAATGGCAGGATGTATGTCCAGCTTTCTAGTTGACCACCATAAAGCACATACTGAAATCAGAGTTGCAGTTGCAAGGATGCGATGATCAAGCTGTGACATTTATTTGAAACTCATGATTAAATTCCACATGGGCATAGTTCTAAGAATAAACATTGGCATTTAGTGGTTTTGTTGACTTACAAATGGTGCTACAGATTTAAAAAAAAAAAATCATTTGCTGATCTGTTTAAAGAAATTATGGAATAAATAGTTGCTCCAACTTGAAATTAAAAACTTTTGTTGCCAAAATGCACTGCCAGTGAGTAACCATGCCAAACTGGATGCATCACATTCACATGATACTGCTTTATTTTAACTACCCTTCATTTCCATCTAATTCCCTCAATTCTTGAAAGCAGATAAGAAAACCATGAGAAAAAAGGTGCTTCAAGCGCTATCCATATTATGGACAATCACCTGTACAGTTGATGTGTTCTCAAAGAAATTCCGAATCAGAGGTTTCATTTCAAAAATATCACCTGGTATCCATGTATCACCCATCATTGGGAAAGTATTGAATGCGTGCCCCTGGAAATCAACAAGCAAGCAGAAAGATTTTTCTTTACTCATCAAAGTTTCAATGATGTAGGAGACAGAAGTATAGAAAGCATTGAAACAAAAGACATAATAACATACAGCATCATTTCCAGCAACAAATGCACCTGAGATAGCAGTCAAACCAACAACTAAGCTTATAGGTAATGCAAGTCTCTTCACTTTAGCAGCCCCATGAACCCATGCTAGTGATTCTGCTGGTGGTTCAGGCATAACGACAGACAGAGCAGTCCAGAAGAGGCCACAGTAAATAGCAAATGCTGAAGTAAGATGAGCAGCGAGGCGATAAGGGCTGACCCTTGGCTGAGAATATTCTGATGCCGGTTCCTGTGGAAGAAGATTGGTTTTAGAATATGATACTGTTAACCAATAAAACTGAAAAATCAAGAGAGGAATTTGCCAACCTCTAAACCACTTTTAACCATCCACCACCCAATTAAACCCTGGCCAGCCCCAAGGGCAAAGAGAGTAGAGAGTCTGAGTCCCAATCTTAAGGTAATGTACCCCTTACGGAGAAAATATGAGAAGGGCAAAGCAAACATAACCCCCAATGCCCTTCCCCACATACGGTGCGCATACTCCATCCAATATATAAACTTGAAATCTTCAATCTTCATTCCTTTGTTTACTCTGCAACAGGTGACAAAGAAAGTATCATCTACCATCCATCAGAATTTTTTTACATCTTCAAAACCAAGCTTGACTCAATTTTTTTTTTTTTTGGCCTGGAAGCTTGACTCACTTAAACTCTGGTCAATCCGATTTTTAATAATCAATCAAAATTCAATACCCAAAATTTATACTAAACATACACTAAAAGTAAAACAAGTTTCTCGATAGACAAAGTTCTACTACGGTAAGCAAACAGTAAATTTTGCAGACTACTCTACTCTTTTAACATATTAATCTTATTGAATATTACAATATTTTTAGCCAAAAATTTGATAGTCTTAGATAATATTTTAACAATCTAATTTCCATGAATTAAAGGTATACAAATAGAAGATGAAGTTTAGTAAAGCATACATTCTGAACAACGCAAAATTACATTAACATCTTTTGAATCATAGTGGTGTTTGCACTTATTACTTACCGCTTGTATTCAGGTGATTGCTTATATTTCTCAAATTCTTGCTGCCATTCCTCATCTGACAAAGGAGGGAGACTGCCAGTGAATTTCCAATCAGTCATTGAAAGACCAGATCGCGTCAGTCTAGTCACACCCCCAAGTACCACCATGCTAAACACCCATGCGGCTGTGCCAAAAAGCCATATTCCAACCACTTTCTGGGCACGAGGTCCCGCAGTTACTAGCAGCTTTACACCCTCTTTCTGTGCCACCTCAGTAGATGCCACGTTACAAAAGCTCCTCATGTAGGGTACATTATGACCCTAAAAGCATGGCAACATTTTCCTTCAAACCAAATATACAAAGCATCGCAATAAAGAAAGCTTCATCACCCTGAAGAGTTGCATGATCATACAATTATTATGATCATAATCAATAATAACTAATGAACCCGATACAATTAAGTTAATCAGCAACACATGCAACATATTATTGAAAGCAATAGGCGAAATGCAAAAGATAGCAAGAAATGTTTATGTTGAAGTCAGAATAAGAGACACAAGACCTTAGGCTGAGATCGAAAATTGTGTAAATATTGCCGGGCGATGGTCAGGTAAAAAACCCTTGATGAATCGTCAGATGGAAAACTAGAAGTTGGCCTTGTTCCTCTCAGTTTGTACGTCCCAATTACATCTTTGCTGCGCCTCAAAAGTGACCAGGCCACTCTGCTTCGAAACATCTCTCTCTAGCTAGCCTGAGCAGTGAGGGGCTTAGCCAGCGTTTAGCAAAGACGACGATGCGGCAATCCCTTGCAGCGGACCTTCGACGGTGTCGTTTTGGGCAACAATTAATTTGGGAGAAATGGAATTTATGAGACTCGTCAGTTTTATATCAGATACTCTATTTCTTATTAAAAACTGAACCTTATTAAATATTTAAGAAAATCCTAATAAAAAAATACGAGCTAAGGTTCAATTTTCAATAATATTTACATGTTTTTATAAAATAATATTTAATTAATACAAATTATTGGGTTCTTTTGATAAAAGAGAGTCTTAAATGTCATTTTTTCAATTAATTTTAATATGAAAAGCTTATTTTACTCTTCTGAAAAATTTAAAAAAAAAATTGCCAAACCCAACCGTCCTTCTCCCGTCCGAAATGCAGCTCCAGTTAGATAATAAGGGAAAAAGTTAGATAAGTGGACTATAAAACAATTTGAGAAAATTGCATGCAAGGAAATGTTAAAAATGCTATTTATAGACAAGTATCAACGCAAAATGTATTATTGTTAAAATAAGAACTTAAATCTTTTTTGTTAATGATGACTTATTATTAATCTTTATTTGCAAGTAAAATATTTCACTAATTATTGGGTACGACTATTTCAAATAATTTTTTACCTATCTATCATTTAAAGTATAGGGCCAACAAAAAAGAGATGCATTTATAAATATAATTAAATTAAATGATATACTCCTTTCAATTCGTATGATGCCTTAGCATCTCAGAATAAAAAAAAATAGTTAAATCATTAATTTTGTCCAAACACACTCCTTAACCATTAATTTTGTTCAAACACAAAAAAGTAATTTTACTTGTATTTAAATAAAAAATTAAATTTGTATTTCATCTCTTCTAAAAAGGTATCATACAATAAGAGACACTGGGAGTATAAGATTAATTGAGCATTAAATTTCCGTGCATTGCTAATAATAATTTTAACTTGTTTTCCAGCAAGTTATTATAAAAGTCTAGATCTTCAAATATATTCAATTTTATTAAGGATTTTTTTATACAATTCTTAGCTCAGATATTCCTGACCTTCAACTTCACCGTAATTTTCATCAAGTGAAAGGCCACAAGCCAATAACAAAAATGGGAGATGTCGGTAGACTGAAGGTGGTGACCACCAACAAAGGAAGCTATTAATGAAAGGAGAGAGAATGACATTTTAGTCATTTGATGGATCATATTGATACAATGATTTTTTTATCCCAATTTTGAATGTGATTATCACATAAAAAACGTCGCTATATAGAAAACTTTCCATTCACTTCTCATTATTTATATCAAGTGATGCGCAGTGCTCCAAGTCTACACGAAAGAAAAGCTAATCCATAAGATCCGCTCTGTTCATAAATCAATATTCAATAGATACGTTCCATTGGTACAGTTCTTCCTCTGGAACTCTCAGATCTATAGTGATCAATCCAGATGCTCCCTCGTGTGTGAATTCCACCTCCTCTGAATCAACTGTGATCTTCTCAGGTCGAGCTGATGAATAAGCTCCAAATAGACCACACCCACGAACTTTCATGACAACCTTTGCAGTTCCATCAGATTCTTCGCAGTACAAATCCTTGATGGCTCCTCCTGAGTTGAACATCTTGATCAAACCAATCGGAGCAAACTTGACCCCATCACTCAATTCTTTGATTGGAATTACTGTGAAAACTTCATATTCTCGAGATTTTAATGTGATCGGCATTGATGCATCCTTTGGAAGATACACCACTTCTCCTGCAAATTGCCATAAGTCAGCATGTAACTCTTGAAGTAACACTGTATAGAAGTTTATTATGCGAAGCCTAGCTAGAAACATACCACCAACATGGGAAAATATAACAGTATCTCCTGTCCATTTGTCATCTGCAACTCTGGACAAATAATCAACATCTTTAGCTCTAATGATGCTGGTGATTGAGCCCGGATTTTCGTCATGGATGAGGTTCTTCTTTCCAACTTTGCACCAGCCAGCTCCCTGGCAGTTGAACACCCCAACAACTCCAGAAAAATCATTCATGTTCCATATCTTCAGAAGGCTGCAATAGCAACTTCCAATGAGTTTTCAGAATTGAAAGGTTAATGATCTATGTCAATCGTTCAGACGTATTTAGGTTGGCTAATTCATTTTGGATTCCTTACCTCTCCCCATCTCTAGCGGGATCAGTAAATAAGCAATCTTTGGTTGGCCTTCCTGGAAGTTTAGCCCTCAATATAGAACCATCCGGAAGTGCAAGTTTCTTTAATAGATTAAAGTCATGGTGCCCAGGCTTATCACTGTAAAAATGAAACTATCCAACTAAGAAACCATTCGTCCAATTCAACAACAAAAAAATCAACACATATCACTCATCAGCAACGATCATACCTAACATAAATAGGACACCCTCCAATGGCTCGAGCTGCACCATGATATTCAGCCATCGGATGTAAGCTCTATCAAAATCAAAGGTTCAGATTTGATTAGCTCCAGAAGACCAAGTACAAATTTAATTTTCAGAAAAAGAGGGGAATTAATCATTTTCCAACTTACATGAAACATATCCCAATCTGGCTGCATAAATTCACCGAGGAAGATGGTGTTGTAAGCAACTGATGCAATGTGTATGGTGTGGGATGCTGGATCTCTTGGCCAAAAATCATCAGATGCCCTCACAACAGCAGACCGTTTTGCACTTTACAAAATCAAGTTCATAGAATATCATGTTATGAATGATGTCACTCACCAAAGCATTCAACATAAGCAAGTGAACCATCCTTACCTGTAAAGACCATCAGTGTTGTGACTCATGCAGCAAATGATTCCATTGTCAGGGAAATTTCTACTGATGGATGCCTCTAATGCCTGATGATATTTCCTTGCAAGTTTGACCCTCCCTCCATGGCCAGCCCCTAGAGTTTCAAGGATGTTCTGAACATCAACTTTGACACCATCGATACCAGCAGACGCCAGATACGAGTGGAGTTCATCATAAAAGTGAAAAACTTTCTCAGGATTCACAAGGCCAAGCCCATTTATGGCAATTGTTTCTAAAGCTTCATCTGGTTGGTTTGATTGAACTCCAGGAGATGACACAGGGTAGGTCATCTTTGAGTCATAATGCTCCATTTCTGTAACTCCAGGTTTAACACCACCCCAGTATCCAGTTATCGCATGCCACACATATATGTACCTACAGTTTCAAACTGAATACATGAATTGAATATTCTCTCAAATTTTAGAGAAAGAAAGAAGTAAAAATGAAGTTAAGCAAACTTTATGGCGTGTTTTTCTTTGATTTCATTGGTCATATAACGAAGTCCAAGAGCAGGGTCATCTATCCTTTCACCCTCTTTGCCATCTTTCTGAAATTTGTGGTTCTCTTTTATATGTGTTAAACGATTTGCAAAGCTGATGGAGAAGAAAGAAAGAAAACATTAGAAAAGGAAATAGCATGACTAAGCCAATTATGCAGAAGGATGAAGTTAAAATATGGTAATGAAATTTTTAAGAAATAAATACTCACTTGGCTGCATTATCTACTTTCCATTCTACAGCATTAAGGTCCATACCAACAGATTGCCATCCATCATCAATTATAACAAATTTAGCAGGAATTCCACCTTTCTCCAAGCTGCAAAAAGTAAAAATAAATAATGGTCACAATTCGGATTCTATATTTCCCGATTTGTTGTGTTACAGTGGATGGTAGAGGTAACACCTTTGTAATCCTTGATTCACACCCTCTGAAGTGACATTAGTATAGAAAGCATCCCATGTGCACCAGCCAAACCAGTTCAACATGCCAGGCATCTGAATACAAGAAAATGAGTATTTAATAAGTATTAATCATAAGAACATCCGAGGAAACTCTTTACGAGAAAGCAAAAACTACCTTCTTCCTCTCACGATGAGAAAATGTCCGCAAGTGTTTCTCAACAGTCCTGAAGAAATTGGAAAAGAAATCAAATTATGACCTCAGTAAATAAATACCATCTTTGGGTAAAAAAATTGCCTATCTAACAGTGTAATTATGGCATATATATGCATAATGTAATGGGGAAAAAATTACATAGAAAGAGCTGTAACTTACTTGACAGCATTTGTGATGACTTGGTATGGGTCTGAGCCAGCGCCAATAAATACCAGATTGGTCCCATCAAATCCTTCGACAGCAGGACATCCTACAATCAAACACATCTTAATTTCATCACCTTGAAAAACTAATGATCATTTTTCAATCACCCGCGATCCATCTAGTTTCTGCAATTTTCAGACGCACCGCTTTCAACACAGATCTCTAGCTCGTTTTGTTCATTGCCTTGAAGAACAGCCCTGAAATCTCCTTCCAGGAGGGGTAAGAAAACTGCATAGACAGCAGAGTGGTCTTCTTCTAAGTCAAGATCAGAAGCGTTGTGTACTTCCACAAGCAAGAACTGTGTTTCAAAGGGAATATCTCGTCCACAAGTACCCATCCTCTGGGTCATCCACCACATTTTGAAGCGGAAAAGACACATAAAACGCAACCCCCTGAAACAATTATTATTATTATTATTATTATTAAACCTTTATCCTTATTTTGTGTGATCACACGGTTATAGGATTAATACAATATTTTGACTTCAATGAGAAGTTACGATAATTAACTTTGAATCAAAATACTAATAAGTAAGTAAGTGCATGCCATGCCAGAGCAGAGCTTATAATCCCGACTTCAGTCTTTCAATCAATAAATTGTTATTTTCCTGGACAAAATAGCAGTTTTAGTACAAAAAATTATAAATTCAACTTTACACAATTTTAAACGAAAAAATAGTAAAAGATTCTCTCTCCCCCTCTCCCTCTCTCTCACATATCTGTCTTTTTTTTTTTAAATTGTCTATACATGAATGTATAATTTTGAACCAAATGAAAGGATTCAGGTTACAACTATTTAAATTTAAAATTTAAAATATCAATAAAAACTCATGTATAAATTATATATATACATATAAGTGGGGGAAAAAAAAGGCGCGCTATTAACGCGCGAAGCCATTATCTAGTTATATATTCGATAATCATAATTGGCC